AAGGATGATGGATCATCTTCTCATAGCCGACCACCTGCACATAACGTTCCCTGCTATCTGAAGGGTTTGTGATCCCCAACACCACCCGGAGCTTCCTGGAATGATATAGATATTCACAACAGTACTTAACATAGGTGGCTTCTCCATCCTCTGGGCCTTCACTAGCCCACCGATGTTTTCCTCTGCCACTGAATGCCCCTCAAAGATCTTTCTAACCCCATTAAATTGGGAGATAGTTCTGGGCAGTGTCCTACCTGAAAACCCAAACAGTAGTGTGGCTTATTACTCACGGCAAGTTGCAATGTGCAGCTGTGATTACCCAAAGTGGGTGGATCAGGGCTCCTACGCAGGGCAAGTAATCGGATTTCAAGTAGACCAAGTAAGAGGGGGTAATGGCACCTGTGTAATCTGGATTATAGGCAAAGGCAACTGGAAAGAGAGACATCAACAAGAAATTCTGAGATTTTTCAATAGTCACTGAAAAACCAAAGGAGAATTATTTAATAGGCTTCTCCAACCTTCTCTTGATACCTTTAAGTATAAGCTAAACCTATAAATTGATTTTGTTCTAAACATGAAGAAAATAATGATAGAAACATCTGTTTAAAAAATAAAAAGGTGTTTGCCTTTTTAAGTGACAATAAATATTCTTCAAATAAGCTTTCTTAAATACTTTCTGAATCCAGTGTATGTAATATTAAATCAACTCATTTTAAAGACACTTTTTTCTTTGCCAATTTTAGAATACTTTCACAAGTCTTATTCCTTTTCTCCAAAAATAATGCAAGCGGAATGACCAATACAAAGGACTGTTTCACGCTCTGCGGTGCCCATGAATTGGGAAATCCTTGCCTCATTCCCATTCTCACACCCCAACATTAATCCTGGTCCAGAAAGGTCCAGAGTCAGCTCTTTCTTAGGAGTGGTTCTGGTTGGGGTGTCAAGGTCCTGGCCTCCCCAGAAGCATACACACCAACAACCTCAGGTCAGGCAGGCAGGCACTGTTACAGGGAGGGAGTTGGTGGGGACCGAGAATGAGTCCCACGTCTCAAGTCTGCCATGGTGCCTCCTGTCTTGACCCATGTTTCACTTTCCCCCAGGATTTCTCTTTGGTGAGCACAAAGCCAGCTGGGCACATACTCACGAGACAGGTGTGAGAGAGCCCAGATGAGGATGAGCTTCGTGACAATGGGAGAGCCTTTTGCCAGGACACGTTTCATCTCAGAGTCTCTGGAAAACGAGGAGAGGAGGATGGGGAAAGCATTAAATTAGATAAAGCCAGAGGAGCTCTAGGGTTGAAATAAAAGTCTGATCCAAACTCTTTTCAGTGGCAGGATTCAGTTACCAAAATGGTGTTCATCTGTCAAACAAGGGGGTTGGTTTCTGCTGTTGGAGGGAAAGGAAACAAGGTTGGTGACTCTGTCCCTGACCCAGCAGAAAGGATTTCTGGAATCCTGGGTCCCCCCAGCTGCTCCTTTCAGGCAAGAAATTACATAACCTGACAAAGTTTCAGTTCGCAGTGTCTCCACAGCTGTGTCCTGTGTGGTTTCTGCAGGCAGTTTTCTGTCTAAACTACACTGACCCCTCCTGTCTCTGTGATGCTCAGCCCTATTTGTGTGACACTGGGTGGACGTGCTCAGGCCTCTGGCACTGACATAGCTCCCTCTGCCTAACACTAAATTCCTCTTTGAAATACCTTAGTCCTTTTCTTTCTGTACCTCTTGAACTGATGCTGGGAATCTATTGCTGCTAAGTGCAAAATGATAGAGCCATTAAAGAAAATAGTGACCATTTACTTACAAATCGAAACATGGCCTTGACGTAGAATCCACCAGGGACACTCATTATTACCCAAATGAGTTGAAAACTTCTGTCCACAAATAAGTCTGCACATGGGTGTTTATGGAAACTTTATTCAAAATCACCAACCTTGGAAGAAAACCAAATGTGCTGCATAGTTAAGTGGATAAACAGGTCGGTGCAGACGCAAAGTGAAATATTGTGAAAAATTTTTAAACGTGTATTGTTAAGAGAAGAAGGCAGTCTGAAAAGAATATAAAAGGTATGACTCCAATTAGTGACATTCTAAAAAAGGCAAAATTACAGAGACAGATCAGGGGTTGCCAGGGTTTGGGGAGAAAGATGGATGAATAGGTTGATCCTAGGGGAATTTTAGGACAGTGCAGTTATTTTGTATAATACAGGAATGGTATAGACAACATTATACATTTGACAATACCAAAAAAAAGGAAATTATTTAATAATTATACATCAATATTGGTTCATTGATTGCAGCAAGTGTACCACACTGAAATATGTTAATAAGAACAGATTACTCAGTGGTAGAGTCTTGGTGGGCATACTGTAAGTCTTCTAGTGTTTTTGTATGCTTGGAAAATTTCGTAAAATGCTGGAGAGAAGTTTTTTTTTTTTTTTAAAAATCCAGGTATGTGCCTTAGTGTACAAAATTCAAGGTACTTTCTAGTCTTCATGGTGTGTTAGAAAGGGGTCCCCAGGTATTACACTTTACTTGGGTCTTACAAAAAGGCTGAGAGCTCATGTAATATAAACAGAAGAGAAAAAACAGCCCACGGAGAGGGTAAAAACTTTAGCAAAGATGTGAAGACCTACAACAATATGGCATGTTTGTGGAACTAGAATCAAGTGTTGAAGAAAGAGTTCTCAGGAAGATAGATAAGTGGGAATCACATAATGAAAGCTTTCTTACATAAGCCTCACCTGTGTAGCATAAGACTCCCCTAATTCTTTATAGGAGATAAGGAGTCAAGGAATTCATGATTTGACAAAAAATTATTGAATCTTTTGGGGTATGGACCCAAGCCCCATGTTTATGCCCTACACAATCCCCTTCCCTTGAATGTGAGCACCACATTCAAGAATGTAGCCAAGGTGATGGGGTGTCACCCACATGATTGTGTTATTATGTAATAAAGTGTGTGTGTGTGTGTGTGTGTGTGTGTGTGTAGCTAGTGTGCAAATACAGGATCTTAATGTTGGTTTGATGAAGTAGTAGCTGTTTAGGAAGCCATTTTGAGGATACACAATGGTTGGGAACCTTTATAAACTAAGGGACAGCACAAGGATCTGACTCTGGCTTTCAGCTGACAGCCAGCAGAGTCAAGGTCCTGTGTCATATAAACACAAGAAAATGAATTCTTCCACTTGCATAAGTGCAGAAGCAAATTCTTCCCCTGCAGGCTTGTTAATCCAGCTAAGTCTGGCCTGGACTAAAACTGTAAGATGATAATTGTGTGATGATGTTTGAAGTCGGGCTGTCTCCGGTGAGGATTTTAATGCAGCATTGGAAAGCTAATACAAATGTATCCTGTGGGCTGGTGTTTTCTCAGATATCAATGATTTAATGGTAAGGGAGATGAGGATCTTGTGCTCGAGTATCATAGTCTAATTAAGGAGACAGATGTCATAAGAATCATCATCATGAATGTCATGGTGTGGGAAGTGAAGTGGGGCAGAGAAACATTTAAAAGAAGATCCCCTTTGGGAAGTGATTTCTGAGACTTGAAGGATCAGTAGAAACTAGACAACTGAACAGATGAGGAGAAGTCTCTGGAAAGACAAACCAGGTCAAAAGAGCAGAGTATGAGCAGAGACACCAGCAAGGAGAGACAGACCAGAGACACAGAGCAGATATTTCAGAAAACCTACAACTGAAGAGAGAGCAGTCAGGGAGCGGGTCTAGGAAGCATGTCTTTGTATTTTAGATGAGAGGATTTATCTGGCTTAAGTGGTGGCAGGAAGAAGTCTTCAGAGAGGAAAGGTCAGATAGGAGGTACCAAAACACTCAGGAGAAATTTGTTCTTATGTTCTACAGCAGTGAGGTAAAATAGTGTATGGTATCTTATGATCTATTTCAAAATAACTAGAAGGGTCTTGAAGTTTCCCTACATATAGAAATGATAAACGCTCAAATACATGCATAAATTAATTCAATGCATGCAAATATATGCATACAAATACATGCATAAATAAATTCAAGCCAAAAAAGAAGATAATCAATAAAGCAAGTCTGTAAGGAAGTTAGGGGAGATGGGTATGTTTGCAGATTTGGTGGCGGCAGCTGTCGTAGATGATGTCTCCCCTGCTCCCAAGCCAGAAGGCATCTGCTAAAATTGAGCATTGCATCCAAGGTGTGAGAAGAGAGGAGATGCTCTGAAATGCTGCTGTGAAGTTAGGCAAACAATTGACAATGGACTTATTAAGTGCTATAGACATTTCAAGAAATGCTCAGTTGAGGGCTCAGTTGAGGGCTTTTTTTTAAAAAAAAAAAAAATCATGGTGTCACAAATACAGATGTATTTGTGACAAGGAATCAGCACCAGGAAGTGGGGGACACAGGAACAAAGCTGGGAAAGAAAGCAGGTTGAGAGAGACTCACATTTTGAACGGGGCCAGCGGTTATAGGATACATGGAATCTTACTACATTCTTTCTCTTCCTCTATCATTTATTTTCTACCTTCAGGTGTTACTCATTTCCATGTATTTTTCCAGAACATATCACACTTTCACACTTTTATTTGCTTTTCTGATACCTCCCCAATGGTCTGCCTCCTTGATGGTGGTTCCTCCTGTGATTCCACCTAAATGCTTAGATTTATGCCCTTAGAGATTATTATTCAACTCCATGATCACAGTTGCTACAAGAATGGACTAACCAGTGACAAAGGTCATTCCATACCCTTGCATGTACCTCCAGCGAATGCAGTGTGTATTATTAAATAGTTGGTGGTACCATGATTGTTGTATGAATGAACAAATAGTTGGGGTGTTGCTAAATTTCTCATCATTTCAAAGGTCACATGACAAAGAAAGCAGCAGTCATGACAAATTTCTGGTGCCTTTTTGTTTTTATTGAATATATTCCCCTTGAACCATGTTCATGAAGAGAAAAGATGAAGAGTTGTAGATCCAGTGTAGAAAACATGAAGAGATCAGGCTGAGGGGATGGGGAACAGGCACCTCAATAGGATTCCATGATTTTCATGATCCATCTTGAATAGGCATAAATTTCTGTAAAGAATCCCTCATTTCCCAGGGTATAACCTGCTTTTGCCCAGGTCAAGATTCCATGCAGCCTCCCACTGCAGATGGCTGGAGCAGCTGAAACTTCCTGCCAGGGAGAAGGAACACGTTGATGTAACTTTGTTGTCACACAAGAGTAAACACTATGAAGTGATGCACTGTAGTAGCAAAATCGTCTAAGGAATGGATTTCTACTGCTTGAGAAGTGACAAGCCTCTCTTCACATGCAGAGAAGTCTCACCCTTCTCAGTTTAAGCTTGATCCATCCTGAGTGTAAGAAGGGGAAAGGACAGATGTTGACACCAGATCTCTGCCCTTTACTCTGTGGAGGGCTTTAGGAATTAGACCCTATTGTCATCTCTCTGCCCCATGGAGCCCACACTGTCTTACCATATGGAACATACCTTTACTTTCGTTATGAGGCTTAGAGGTTGTCCCACACACATGATGTTTAATTTTGGTTTTGTTTCCTCTTGTTGTTGGAGCACATTCTGGCAGTCACGGGCAGAAAGAGGATGTTGGCTTATCCATCTCATGATGTCTGGGTCACTGACTGTGGGAACGAGAAGACAAATGGACTCCAGAGTTTAGCTCCTTATCCCAAGTGCCCTTATGATCAACCCCTATGTTGGAGACAAATTCATCCCTGAGAATATTTCAACCCACATTCCACCCTTCTTGAGGTTCTTGGTTCAGAATCTGTGTGGGAGAAGCAGATTCATAAGTCCCCTTCCATCAGTCACCAAATCTTTAATTTTCTCTCTACTGTGAATAACGTATATACCTTTGAAACAACTGTGTAAAGATGATGAGTGGCCACTCGAAGAAAGATAGTAAAAAGGCCATGTCTCCGTGGTGTACACACCATCTTTTCCTTTTAGCATCTACTTCATTTTCTTTAAATTGGTAACTATGTTTATGGTGTAGAACTGCTTTTCAAATTGAAGTTATGGGTTACCAATGATTGAGAAATGCCACATCAGGTTATTTTGCTGTAAGAACGTCATAGAATATATTTCACAGACCTAGATGGGACAGTCCACTGCACACCTGGGCTATGAGGGATAGCCACTGCTCCTAGGCTACAAACACATATGGCAAGTCACTGTACTGGACAGTGCAGGTAATTGTACCACAATAGTAAGGATTAAAGTATGCAAATATATCTGAAAAGATAAAGTGAAAAACACTAGGCAATAGGAATTTTTCAGCTTCATTATAATTTTAAGGGACCAGTGTTGTATGCCTTCCATCACTGAAGCATGTGGTACATGATTTCAAATAGATTATTTATAAACTGATTACTTAGAAGTGTGTTATCTGTATGTAAAGACATATTTCTCCCTCAGAAGTCATTCTGTTCATCTCTTTCATAGCAATTGTTTTTTACACTGTCAATTTCAAGATGCAGGGACTCTAGCTCTACAGGGTTGTGTAATTTTAATCTCTGGTATAGAGTATGAAGGAAGAAGAAAAGAAACAAAAAGTGATCAGAGACTGATCATACTAAGCCTGGTGGCTCTTAAGGAGCAGGATTTTTCTGATAGGGTATATCCAAAAAGTGCCCCAAAGCAGAATAAGCCAAAAGTCTCAGAACAGAAAAAATAAAACAAAACAGAGAGAAGTTATGTTTAGTTTTATGGTTTTATATGTCCTAATTAAAATATGTTTAACAAGCTAGATGAAATAAATTACTTGAAATAAAAAAATTCTTAATAAATATCAGAAGCCCTGATATCTATTATATCAGGAGAGGAGTGGTCCCTCACTATAATTGACATGTAGAGCCCACACCATAAAAACCTTTGCATGGTTTTATTTTATTTACAAATGGAATACTTTTGTAAGGTGTGATCCAAATTACTTTGAATAAGACTTAAGTTAAGGACAAAAATCACATGTTGTAATTTTTTGTTCAGAAAATATATTCACTTAAGATTCCCAGGTACTTTGCTTCTAAATTGAAATGTGAAATTGCAACACACTGAAAATATAAAAGTTCTCATTTCTTTTTTTTTTTTTTGCTTTTAAATAACATAATGATTTTAAGTCCCACGTTATTTGTCTTCGCAGAACAAATAGACCATCTGTGGGTGCCAGATGCAGGGTTTAAACCTGATTCAACAGGTTTTGACAATACTTAAAGAGAGCATAAGTGGTCATTAGCAGCCACATAAAGTTATCTGCCAACAGGGACCAACAGATTCACTAACTTTCTTTACAAAGTGCCCATGAGAAGACAGACATCTCCTACAGACATCAAATCTCTCTGCTCATCCAAATTTGGGTTCACAGAGGAGGGTGTGTGCCTACAACATGGGTGGTGACCATAAGGTATGTGTGGCCAGAAAGACACCTTCAGGAAGTCATAATAATCAACTCTCTATGAACCACCCAAGTCTTCTGCCTCTACAGGGAGATCTCAGATGTATCAGGAGGGATGAGATTAGTAATCTCAGCAGGGAGCCATCTCTGGTGATAGGACAGGTGGTTCTGCAACCAACCTCCTCTCCTCTCTCTCAGGGTCACCTGGAATGAATGGATTATCATGGCTCTGCACAGGCTGGGTTCTCTGTGGTGGGGAGTGGGATATAAACTCTCTGGCTTCATCTTGTCCTGTAAGCTTTGTTTTTCTTTTTCCCTTGCTTTTGGGTGGGGTTCTTTGGAAGTCTCAATGAGCAACCACCCTCTTGGCCTACTGTCTGTGCATGAGGACACTCCATCTGTATATGCCATTTGTAATGGTCTAGAATACCCTGGGTCTGGAACACCCTCCACACTGTATTTGTCTGACCTCTTCCTATTCCTGTTGCTCCCATGTCTTCAGAGAGGCCTGACAGGTCACCCTATATACTTGATATTCGGTTGATATTCGGTTTTGTGCTTTATTTTTGGCCATTTACTTATTTTTGCTTGCTTCCTCTACTAGAATGTAAGCTCCAAGTGGGAAAATTGATTCCCCATCTTTATTTTAAAGTCCAGAGTTCCCTGGACTCTGGCCTTAAATGTTCTACATATACAACAATTACTACCTACTCCATTTTTTTTTTTTTTTTGGTGTCTTATTAGCTGCCCCATAGCCAGTCTCCAAATTTTATCTTTGACTTCCAATTCTGGCCACATAAAGCTTGGCAGAAATCCCTCCAGGAGCAAGAACATTGCTCATACCAGCTCTTTCCATCAAGTATATCTGACCATGTTTTCCCAGCTCCAACCTCCTTAGGATGAAGAGCACTCACAGTTTTTGTAGTCATTCCAAGTCCAGGTGGGGATGAAGCAGGACTCGTTAGATGAGATGTGCTCCAAGGATATGGCAATGGTCCCCACATAGTTGTTGAGTGCCACAGGTTTGGAGAGTTTTATCATCATCAGGTCATTTTCCAGAGAGTTTGCATCAAAGTCAGGGTGAGTCATAGTCAATGAATAATTTTGTACCTGCTCTTTTTTATTGTTGATGCTGGGTTGATAAACTCCAAGTCGAATTTTGATGCTTTGGAAGGGAAAAAAAAGGCAAGGAAATGAGAAAGAGGAGAGTCAAGAATGTCATCCTACAAAAAAGATCAGAAGTCACCTTCTCCTATCATCTTAATTTCATTTATTAACCTGAAAGCTGCAGTGATGTATCTTTGTCTGTAGAATAATAATTCTTGACAGGACCATTGTATTACAGACATGCTTTTATGAAGCCTAACCTGTAATGCACTCAAGAGTCAGTTGTTAAGATTTGGATAATCTGAATTAGTAGGTGGTGGGATGGTACCACAGTCAATGATTCCACAGTGCTTCATCTACCCTACACTGTCTAGACCCCGTACATGGGACATGGGACACGCTGTTTCTGGATATTCTTAGGTGTTTTGATGATTTTCTCAGGCCCATATCACTATACTTACCATGTCTTGTCTAGATTGATCAAAGACTCAAGAGATTCTCCTAGTAGTTTGTTGAGACTGCCAGAAGCCTTTTTGCTTATAATCCCTTATAATCCCCATTTAGACTCACCTACTTCCATTTTCAGCAGTCTAATCATGCAACATGTCTAATAATTCCTGGGCTCCTAATAACCTGCCCAAAGCAGTTCACGTGTTAAATATGAGTGATAGAAAGAACGTCTGATTTTCTAACTCTAAGTCCAGGAGGATGAGAGCTGACTTATTTCCTTTCTGTTCCTCCTGATACAGAGGCCAGGCATTCAATATGTGTTGGAATAAACCGTCTTGACAACCAGGTGGCTGAGAGTTGTAAGTTTGAAATGGCCCTTTAAACTCCTGCAACTGAGTAGGACTCCCTTCACATGACCCATTTGCATGCCCAAGAAAAGTGCAGATGTGACATTATTGTGCACGACGCCCTCCTGCCCTTCTGTTACCTGCATGGTGAGACTCTGCTTAAGAGGCAGGGGCAATTCTTATCCTATGAACATCCCCTGACCCAGTATACTCAGTCAATACCAATTCCTCAGTTGGCCAAATATCCTACTATCTTTTCTACCTCAGAGACTATGAAAATAGTGATCCCTGGGTCTGGAATACCCTCTACACTATATTTGTCTGACTGCTTCCTCTTCCTGTTGCTCCTCAGGTCTTCAGAGAGGCCTGACAGGTTACCCTATACATTGCTCCTTTACATTGCAACTTGATGTTCTGTTTCATGCTTTATTTTCAGCTATTTGCTTATTTTGGCTTGCTTCCTCTACCAGATGTAAGCTCCAAGTAGGAAAACTGATTTCCATCCTGTTTCCTCACTGTCTTCTCAGTGCATGAAACAGCTGTTGCTATAGACTAACGATGAGAGAATATTATTTACTTCCCATGAAAATCTTATGACCTCTTCCTCTGGATCTCTACTTCAAACACCCGACTGTGTATTCTATTGAAAACAAGCCTCTCTATCTTCATGGATCTTCCAAATCCATCAAAAACTTGCTGGGCTATTTTACCAGACTTACATCTATTTGAATAATCTCCCCCTGATTCCATAAGCAAAGGGCTACTTACGGTAAGGGGCAGTGGGCAGCTGTCAATACCCACTGGGGGTGGATGAGACACCCAACACAGGGCTCTGTGGTGGATTTCAGATAGACCATGTAAGGAATAGTAAAATCATCTTGTGCTTTTTTCTTTTCATTAGAAACATTTTCCACAATAAGTCCTGGAGAATCAAGGGGTCATAGGTGGGTGGAGAGACAAAGAAGAAAAGAGATCATGACTGGCTATGCTGGTGTTCTCTAACGGAAAGTTTTCAAGGATAGTATAGAGTTCTTTAATTTATTCTTGACATTTTAAAAAATAGGAGAAAACCATCCACGCCACCTGAGCTCTACACATTAAGGAATTTGACATGTGTTTTTGCTTGAGATGAAATTATATTAAAGTTTGGTGACACTAACTTACGTGCTCATCTCATGTTGATGAGAAATGCCCATTGACTGTACTGTGTGTTATAAAACTGAAAAAAACTAAATGAACACACTAAAAACATTATTTTAAAAATTAACTTTTGGACTGGGATTGTAGCTCAGTGGCAGAGTGCTTGCCTCACATGCATGAGGCCCCGGGTTCGACCTTCAGCACCACATAAAAATAAACAAATAAAAATAAAGATATTCTGTCCATCTACAACTAAAAAAAATATGTAAAAAAATTAACTTTTGACAAGAATGGGGCTAACAAAACAAAAGATTGCCTGACTTGGAAAGAAGTGAGATAACGGGGTGGGGGGGCTTCCTGAACCCCTGACCTGCCTGCCCTCCCTTTTCTAGGCCCACATCCTCGAATAACCATCTGCTCTGGGAAAGGAAACCACCTGGCTGTGCAGGATAAAATCACATGCCCACGAGCTCAAAGAGCAGGTCCCAGGACTGAACAGGGCAGGGCAGTGGGTATGTCCTGAGTTGCTCACAGGCATCGGGCATCAGAGGGACTCAGAGAGCAGGTCCAGAGGACCAGCTGTGCATCCAGGTGCTTTAGTTCATCTCCTGCAGCAGCTGCTGCTCTCTTCAATTGCCCTTCCAACCCCTGCATATTGCCCGAGGCAGGAACCAGGCCCAGACTCTCACCAGTTGCACTCAAGAGCAGGAGAATGAGAAAATCCTTCATGGCGGACTGCAATCCTTCTAGAGCAGAAAGTTGATCCGAAATGAGTCCCAAATCCTTGACAAGAACAGCTGGGGAATTGAGGGGTACGGAGAGAAATGAAGGTCTTAGGGAAGTCTTCAAACTAGTTCCTATCAAGACCCGTTGTCTAAGGAGCCAACTCAGATGTGGGTGAAGGAGAGGAAGGGACAGACCCAAGCAAGCTCTGGTGCCTCCTCTCTGATCCCTGAAGTCTCCCAAGGCGTCATTATATAACCTGATCACCTCTTCCCTCCCTCTCTGTGACATAGCCTTTCTTTGTGGTCCCCTCCTTCCTTTGTGACTTTAAACCTCTCTCCCTGCCTTCCCCTGTCATTTCCTTTTTTTTTTCCCAAAATCCCTCTGCTGTCTCCACTGACTCACAAAACACTGCGGTCTAAAATGCATTGGATAAACCTTTTCTCCTCAGTTTGGTGATGAGGAAGTTGTGATTCTCACAGAAGTTAGTGGCAAAGTCGAAACTCGGAACAAGGTCTCAAGATGCCCTGTGGCAAAGTTGAGCTCTACTTGGACCCTGTGTGCTTCCAGAAATCAGGGAAAGGTAAGAAATTCCCTCACCCTTCTGTGTTCTAGAAGATGAATTACCACCAAGAACCTTCTTCCCACCAGACTTGGATCAGACTTTCCATGTACTTGTCCTTTCCTCATGGCTCCATGAAGACATTGAGTCACCCCCTGTTGACCTGTTGCAGGTCAATCAGATCTTTCCCCCTTTTCTTGTACCTGCTGACGAAGGCAGACAACGATCCTCCAGGTCCTCCTCTTTCATTTCATGAATGATGAGCTAATATCAAACAGTATATTTCCTTGAAACTAGCTACACTCAAATGAACATTTTCTATTAATCCAATGGACAGAGCTTCCCTACTGTTTGCAAAATAACCCAGAATCTAAATCCTGCTACTTAAATTTATTTATCCCTCCCTCTGAAGGTGTAGGACAGAATTACCCTGCCAACATGCTCTAGATCTTCAGAAATGGGATGCTTTCCTATGGAATAGTGAATAAAACCAAACTTTATACCTATTGCTTTTTCTAAATGTACCACACTCCATTTTGTAAGATAATCTTATCATAATACTTTCCTGTCTCCTAGAGATAAGTAATAAATCATGGGTTTAACCCCATATTTTATAGAGATTGAACAAATGCAAAACAGGCAGCCCTGGACTGACCTTTGCCATAGTAAATGAAGTACTGATGAGTTATGAGAGACTATAAAAATAGCATTCCTCTATCTGTAAAAAATATATACAAACTTAGTTCTTGTGAAATTTAATTTTTAACTTAAAATATGTCATCTGGATATTCCTAAGTGTTCTACTTTGGGGATTCCATTTCTTTAGTATCCAAATCTTTAAAACATGATTTATAATATTAAGGTCCCCATTTATTGAGTTTTTACCATGTGTCACATGTCCTATATGTGTGAACTCACTTATCCTTTATAATGGCCTATAAGTTAAGTGTCATTGATACTCATTTTCTAAAATATGCTGAAGGTCTAAGTTTAAAAATCTTGTTCATAATCACGCAGCTTAAGCCCTCCACTCATGACATTTTAGGAAACCCAGTACCTCTCCGCCCTTTCCAAAGATTTATCTGATAGGACTGAACTTATTGCTATCAATTTCTTTAGTTATCTTCATTCTGGTTTTTCCCATCACATGAAAACATCTATCTCAACTTCATTTATCAATTTACCACTAACCTCATGCTGTAGTGGGTTTCAGACTCGCTGAGGATTTGGATATATTAAGGGAAACTCTGACTCAGACTTCAGAACATACTTTCATAAAACATCAGAAATCACTCTGTGAGTGTTTTTAATTACCTATAGCACATGGACTCTCCTACCAGAGCCTGGTTCCTGCTACATTGTTGAGGCCTACCTTGGGTCCTTATTTTTTTTTTTTGTTTTCCTCCTGTCTTGGCCAGCTACCATTCCTGTTCCCAATAAGCCCCAATATTAAGACAGATACCTTTGTCTGTTTTTAAGCCACCACAGGAGAACTGAGCATTTTTGTTAATATCTTACACTGTGAAACCCATCTCTCTACCTGTTCTCAATCTGGTCCTCTCTCTCAAGTCCGCATCGATGAAAATATGAGGGCAACTTCAGTCAATTTTCTCACTTTTAAAATATGTTTTCTTACTTTTCTAAGAGAAAAAAACAGGCTAGAGAACAACAATTCACTGTGTGGAGAAGTAAGAGGGCACATACACTTAAGGGACATGAGGTCCTGTAATTACCATCCTATTCATGAGTCCCCATATAACATTTCATTATTCAGAGTCACTCAACTGTGACCTCAACTAGCACAACTAAATCTCCAAGATATTTCTTTTTGGGTATCAGATGATGTGGTGTACCTTTTCCCTACAAAAGGTAAAGTCTAATTCGTTCCCCCTGGAATGTAGACTGGCATCATTTTTTACACTATTTCGTGTCTATCTGACCATCTTATTTTGAGGAACATATTCTTGGACTCCAGACACTACACTATAAGGAAGCCTAGAATGTCCCATATGGAAGCCTCGTGGAGAGGCAGGCATAAGTGCTCTGGCCAACTGACAGGCAGCATCAACTACCAGATGTGAGTGAGGAAGCCTTTGACGTGGCTCCATGCCCAGCCACCAACTGACTATAAATGAGTGACCCCAAGCAAGAACTGCGGAGTTAAGCCCAGTCAGACCCTCGAGTCAGAAACTACAATAATAATCAATGATGGCTGTTACTTTACTCGTAAATCTGAGGTCCTTTATAAAGCAGACATCAATAATCAGAACATGTGGCAAATCACTTCCAACTCTACTCCATTTTTAATGGTGGGGACCAAAGTGGGTTTTCTTAAGGGTGGTGATTCTGCTTGAGTGAGGAGGTTTCCTATAAAAAGTCCCCCTCGATCTAGAGGGTCTCAAAAGAAATTTCACTGCCTAAGATATTATGGTATTTAGTCCTAATATCCATTTTTCATCATCTTTGTGTTTTCTCCATTCCACATTGGAGGGGCAATTCTGGGAAGTGGTGATAGGATGGGGGGTGGCGGGGGTGGGGGAAATCTCAAGGTCATCTGGAGAAGGGTTGCCAGGGTGCCTGGTATTAAGTAGTAAATGTCCTATAAACAAATGTTGATTAAATGAAATAAGTGTGACTTTAGGATCCCCATATTTTCAAGATCTTCTGGATGCCATTTTATCTTAATACTTAAAATAGTCTTAGGCTATCCCTAAATATTTCTTGGAGTTCAATGTGTCTTTACATAACAATGAGGAAATGGGCTCTGGAGTCCAACTGGGGTTCAGTTCCTATGGACTTACTAGCTGTCTTGTCCTGAGAAAAACATTTAATCTTGTTAAGCCTCGATTTTCTAATGGGAAGAATATTAGTGTATATTTTCACACAATCACTGTGAGGATAAATATTATTTTAATTTCTTAAGCATAATGTGTAGTATCTAGAACATACTTACTATTTGTTACCAATTGTTACTATTCCATTTCTCACCTCTGCAGAAGTGAGAAATTATTCTTGAGTACTGTAACAAGAAGGCAAACAAACAAACAAAAACCTTAAATATGTTTCCAGTTCTTAGAGTTGTTTGCTTTGGTTTCAGAACCATCCTAAAACTTGGTTCCTCCTGTGACGATAAATATTATTTTAATATTTATCCTGGGGTCAGGAATTGAGAATCCTTGAGCCTTTGTGGATTTATGGTCTCCCCGGCCCACTGTGCGTCTCTTTTGGGGAAAGTGCATTACTCCCTGCAATTCTGTTTCACTTGGGACATCCTGTGACCAACGTGAGACTATGAGAAATTACAGGAGGATAAGGATGGGATAGGTGAGCCCAGGAAGCCTCCAGAGCTGCTGCGTGCTCTGCTCATGGTCAGTTGGCTTTATCCCTAGAGATTAGTGTCAAGGGGTTCGTTTATAAAATAGTGATGACTTTATGAACTAAACATCCTGGAAATTTCATTGACAACCAGTATTATCTTTCATAAAACCTAACACCTGTTTATTGGGAAAAATTCACAAAAAAGAACTCCAAAATGAAGCAATAATAATAAAACACCAGAATTTCATTCAGAGTTGTCCACTCTTCACACGTCAGGCATTCCAAAGCTGTTTTTTTTTTTTTTTTTTTTTTCCCATTCTACGTGAAAAAAAAATCAATAGTTCTTTATATTAAAAAGTTTCTTCTTTATCCTGCTGATGTAGTTTCTATTTCTTGTCTGGATGTTGGATGATACGGTATTTGAAGAAAATATTTTGGAGGCACCCAGAGCTACAGAAAACTAGTTTTCAGTTGAACAAAGGCCCTTGTCTTGGTATCCTGTAGCAGCTGTGCTCCTACCAGCCTGCTGGTTCTCCTTACCTTGGACATGGCCGGCTTCTTATGGAAAACCTCACCTTTCATCCCATGTCGGTCTTGGGGCTCATCTACACATTATTCTATCTCATTCTCCAAACCAGATTCAACTTTGAAACAAAGTAGAAAAAATTATTCTAGACAGTCCTTGGGAAATTGAAGAAGAGAATTCATATTGTATATCATACAGCTGGATGTTTATAAAGATCCATCTTTATGATTTTTAAAAAAATTTTAATGTTGGTGGACCTTTATTTTATTCATTTATTTATACGTGATGCTGAGAATTGAACCCAGTGCCTCACACATGTGAGGCAAGTGCTCTACCACTGAGCCACAACCCCAGCCCCTGTCTTTATGATTTTTAAAAGTGTCTTCCTTAGTCTTTTCCTTTCTTACCTCTTTTTCTCCTTTATATATCTACTTTCCTCTTTTTAAAGAATCACTGTTCTCACCAATTAGATCTCACCTTCAGATTGCACAGCCTACACAGTAAAACACATATAATTAGCTCTCACTTGGGAGGGTGAAACTCTTCTATGCCAGTAGCTTATGAAAGTGTAGATTCAACAAAAATGTTGATGATTATGAT